GCGAGGATGCTTCTGATGATAGCATCGCTTGCTGTGAGTTGTAGATCCCAGACCCGACCGAGAGTGAGATTATTCAGGCCGGGTCGTTCTCCGGGCTTCAAAGCCTTGAAGATCTTTTCCCAATGTCTATCCTTGACAGCCTCGGACTTCAGATCGGACAATGTGCTATTGGCCTTCAAGAGTCCTCGGAGAACGTTCTGGATGTGCTCAAACGCAGCATACTGTCTCATTCTGCTTGGCATCTCCTTGGTCATCTTGATCAAGCCATCCAAAGATTGACGGATCTTGCGGGGTTGGACGGAGGCCCACAAGCTTTCACGAAGATCCTCAAGACTCTTCCAAATAGTTGCCAGTGCAGCCCAGACTGACATAAAGTCTTGAACCTCCTCAAGGATGGCTGGGAGGGAGGATTCTGTGCTTGCAGGGAGATCGAGAGCCTCCTTGGCTTTGGAAACCATCTCAAATTCAGACTGAAGAGACTCCAGGCGAGACTGGAAGGAGCTTAGGGTGCGGGAGGCTTCGTCGGGTGGAATGGTTCCGGAGACAGGCTTTTCATCATTCCACTGCCCAATGATTTCAGCAATCTTGTCGCCAATGACTCGGTCTTCGGCGACAATCTTGGCACGGAGAGCATCGGTTTGGTCTTGCACGATCTTGCTCTTCCGAGTTAGAAGTTCATTGAGTGCTGCCCATTCACCATCGACGTTTTCAACGTGAAGCCAGTCACTGGGGAATTGGTATCTTTGGCGAGAGAGTGTAGTTTGACCTTGGCGGAAAAGATCGACCTCGGGCTCCCACACACGAGTCTTGCGCTTGCATTGTTGCACGATTGTGATGAACGACACAGCATGTGCGGTAGAAGAGGCTTCCAGGGTCTGGCCCTCCAGATCACGGCGAGCAGACGCGATGTCCGAATGCACTTCGCGCATACGGCCACCGAGCTTAGCACCAAACTTCAGCAGGATCTCGTGCTGCCACTGGTCATACTTGGCATTGACCTTGGTTTGGACTTGCTCATAGTCGATTCGAATGTTACCGAAGGCCCGGCTGACTTCAGAGGTGTCAAAGGTTGCACGGCTCTTTCTGATTTCCTGGAGCAGCTGGAGCCATTGAGACAGGTCATCTCCCAGGATATCATACACCTGTTCGGATTGCAGATCCCAGAGAGACTGGAACTGCAACCATTTGTCGACATATTGCGAGACATCCTTCAATCTAGATTCAATAACTCCATAGACTTGGTTGAGTTCATCAGTGCAGAGCTGTGGGAGATCCGCAAAGCATGCCTCCGACTGACGAACGGCCTGGACATCGATAGAAATCTGGTATCGGGAAGCCTTGATCTTCTCGAGATTACAGATGACTCCCAGCCAGTTATCAAAGTGCTCAAACCAACTGGCACGGGCGAACTGTAGTGGAGGGTCGAGGTGTAGAACCTGGTTCTTCATAGAAATCTCATGGAAAAGTTCCGGGAATTCTATTTTGTAGATTGTAGCCTCCGGTTCGACGACAGCGATTTGTGAATGGAACGCACCCGCTTCCAGGTTGCGAGATTCCTGGAAAGTGCTGATCCATTCACGCACAGCACGATGAAGTCTCTCTTGGAAGATCGTCTGGATCTTCTCGTTCAGCTCGGAAACCCAGAATTCCAAGTTGACATAATTCTCGAGGTTGAGCTTATCGACGGCGTTCTGGATAGTCTCGAGGCGTTGCTTGAATGCTGCAAAGTCATAGGGGCAAGTCTTAAGCTCAAGGATAGACTTCTGGATGCTTTCATTGATGGATGACAGAACGGCTGTCTTGGACTGGAGAACGGATGCCGAGCCGGCGAACTCGCGAACGAATTGAACGTGTTTGCTCTCGGTACGGTTTGGCATTGTGGTATCAATGGCGCCATTGGCAAGTGCGGATTGTTTGACGTGGAGTTCGTAAGAGTGAACGAATGACTCCCATCTAAGAGGAATACCCTTCGCGACCATAGCTTGGGAATCATTGACATAGCCATTCAGGAGAATAGCAACATCAGACATTGAGGCGATGGTACGATTGGTCTGCAGAAGGGTACGGACACTTTCCATTAAGCTGATTGCGTAGGGGTAGACACGCTTCGCTTCCTTGGAGATATTGCTCACGGCATGAGGAACCTGGAAGTTCAACCAAATGAGGTTTCGAACCTCCTTGAACAGGGCAATGATTTGGGCATCAAAGTTGACAGTCAGCTCCAAAGTGTTTCCAGCGGCGCGGTTGCGCACAATATTGAAAAGGCGGCCGGAAATCGTGATGTGCCGTCTCTGGACATCCCAGAGCCAAGACTCAAACACCGGACGGGTGTCAAGTTTCTTGCGGAACAGACTGCTCTCAGCTTGCAATTTCTCTCCTTCAGTATGCAAGTGCCAGTCCTCTCCTAGAACATTCTCAACTTTGCGCATGTAGCCGTCAAGTTGTCGCTCGATCTGTCTAGCCCAGATGATGGCACCAGACACAGGCGGAAGATCACGCAATTGGGCCATCGCGTGGGCCTCAGAATGAGCATACTGGTGCTTGAAGCGTTCATGGAGAGCTGAAATATCACGTTTGACATTCTCGATAAGCTGCGTTTGATATTCTCCAATCGCACCACGAATCTTAGGGCGAACGAGAAGGGCGTTGAATTTGGAGAAAACGCGGAACATCTCGTTAGCGTTCTTGGCGGTTGCAAGACGGTCACGCAGGCGTGCAATGATTGAGTTTTCGACTCGAGATGTTCGCTCGCTGTATCCGATCTCTGCCTGTTCCCAGGTGCGAGCTCCTTCTGGAGAAACATCCAAAACATCGACATTCTTCAGGGCGGCATATGCCAATGTGACCTCCTCCACGGCATCCACATCGCCAATCTCCTCAACGATGATAGCCTCGTCAGAGTCCACGCCAGCGCCGGTCTCTGCGGGCGACAAGTTCTTCGGGCCCAAAACGTTGATGATGGTTTTCTGGAGCTGCTCGTGGTTAACCCGGAAGGTATCAATGTACTTGAGACGCTCGCGAGTCTTGTCGTGTCGAGCATTGATTTTGATGGGGATGAACTTCTCATTTCTGCGTCTTGTTGATTCACGAGCAACGTTGGTGAATTCCTTAAGATTCTCGTCCCATGTCCGCCAGATAGCCTGGGTGATTTTCATCAGTGACCGAAACTCGCGGTAGTCGAGGTGAAGAACATCACGACCATTAATCAGATCATGGATCTTCTTGTCAAGGTCCCCAGAAATGGACTCAACAAGTGACAAAGCACGCTTGATGGGGTAAGGGCAGATCTTAAGCTTCTTGTTCAGATGAGTGAAGATCAAGCCCAGCGACTCCTGCACCTTCTGCAGAGAGGTAGCAGAAAGAAGCTCGTCCAGAGGGAAATCGCGCATGAGCTGATTGTACTTCTGGACCAGCTCAGAGGCATCTTTCAGCCCAGTATCTGCCACGAAACTGAGAGTGGGCTGATATCGCTTTGCGTGGCGCAGAATATCCATAGTAAGGCGCACTCCGTCACTTGCTAGTTGTCCTTCGATTCCTTCCAGCGCAGACTCCATAGATAGCCAGAAATTGACTTCTGGCGCAGCAGACTCTCCATCGGGATCCCGGGACATCTTGGTGATGGTCTGGATGGACCGAATCCAGCCATTCACAGTGTTCTGAATACTATTCGTGAAAGCACTGCTGTCCAAGACAGATCCTGGGATCAGCTCCACAGTTGCTTTGATGTCCTTGGCTTCAGCCTCCTTCAGCGCAGCTTGGACGACTTCGTGAAGCGGGAGGTTCAATGCCGGAATCTCGACATTTTGTTGCAGGTGCATGAGACCCAGCTCCAACTCTGCAAACTTCTTCTTTGTGCCTGGAATTCCGGTCTTCGCTTCCGTGTCGCCTCTTGGCTTCGCTCCGGTGATCGTCTCTTGGTTGCGAGTATGGGCTTCGAAGTAGGGGCTGAGACCGTGGTGGAGGATCAGGTGCAGGATTTGGTAGGGTGACATGGAAGCTCCTTGCTGTGACGGAGCATTGTTGGGGGATGCCAGACCGGGGAAGTTCATCACTTGGATCTGCGATGCAATCGGGAGGGAGGGGTCGATAGAAGCAGGACGTTTGATGAAGGCAACGGAACCCACGGTGGTCGAGGCGGAGGATATCTCAGAAGATAGGGTATAGACATACTGCACTGAGTCTACAAAATAGTATCGTTAGATATACCATGTAGGTAGTATCATTGGATCTCGGGATCCGACTCACCTGAACCCTCAGCTTCACCGTTTGTCTCCTCCGCGGCTGCGATATCCTTCTGCACGTAAAGCGCAACTTGCGACTCGGAGGCAAAACGCGTACATCTTTGCGCGGTTTCGTTGTATTTAGCAGCAGAGAGCAAACTCCCCGCGCTTTCCAGCTCGGACTTCAGAGCGCCCAGTGTCACCTGGAGCACATCTGTCAAGTACTGGATCACGGTACCCGAATCGACCACAGCAGTCGTGTCCGTTGTCGGCACGCCATTTGGCACGCCGGGGATGGCGACCTCCATATTTGTTTCGAACTCTATAGCGATAGGGGCTGAGAAATCATGGACGATTCAAAGAAGCGGAGCGCGATCGGAGCAGAAGATTAAATGTTGACGGGAGCTTGTCGCGTCGAGTGGGAGGGAGGGAAGATGGGGGCGGCGGGCCGCGAAATAGAATAAAATAATGTAGATTACAAGGTAAAAGAAGAGAAAGACGGATCGACAAGAAGTGGCGGTGGTCGATTAAAGAGACGCGGTGTGTAGGTCCTCTACTCTCGAAGTGTCCCAACTTCTTTGGATGGGCTCAGGGGATGCACCTTACTGGATTGGGTTTAGGGGCCACGCCTAACCATGTGACTGTGACGGCTGGCGCGGGTTCCTGACCCGCTAGGACTATAAACTCACGAACCACACGTTGTGAACTATGGTAACAGGCGATTTAGTCCTTCAATCTTTCTAGACTATCTACTATTCCGTAGTTTGTCTCCATTCGGAATCATATGGCAGTTCCGATGTCCCCAGTTTTCACCCCTTGTTCGTCAGATGGCGGACGACAGTCACAGTGAAACCTGAGACGAAAGTCGGTCGGCAACATGCCTCCGATCACCTCCAACGCTTTCTCACTGGCCCGGACTTTGGCATATCGAGTGGATGTTCCAATTTCTTCCGCAACTGACTCTCCATGAATCATGACGGCGGCAAAGATACGCGGTCTATCTCCATCTCCACCGGGAAGCTCGCCGGCTTTGACACAGTAATTGATGCATCCATATATCTCGGCCATTTGGTTGTAAAAGTACGTCTGTGGTGTTCTTAGCTTATCTCCCAAGGTATTTTCAAGCATGAATCGGAATCTGACGTCTTTTACTTACCGTCGGGTGCCGATTGGCAAATGTGTCATACAATGACATATCCACGAAATATGGCTTGATGTGAGTCGCGAAAAAGTTCTCAACCACAGAATAGTCAAAGTCAGAGTCGACAAAGATGGCGGCAATGTATGCTTCGATCATATCTGGAAGACACTATAGCCACAAAATCGTTAGCCTGTCACGGTGTTCTGATACCATTGTTTTGCTTCTTCTTTCCATGCGGAACACGCCTTTGGAGAGTCCCTGGTGCTCAGCCAGTAGTCCATTGCACCCTCGCTTTCGTCCTCTGCTGTTTGGATTTCTTCGGCGTAGCTCGTGATATTCGTCTGTATTGGATTGCTGAAGTGCTGAAGATGTCGGTGAAATTTCAGCTTAGCCGCCAACGCACCGAGGAATTTATTCGAAACCATAGCCATCTTCCAACTCACGTTAGTTACTACAAGGGCGCCTTAAAAGCAATGGAAACGCCACATACCTTGTGCTCGGTGAGCCACTGGGGATCTTTGTCCGGAAATCTCTCAAACAGATGCTCAACACACACCATATCCAAAAGAGCGTCCCCCATGAATTCCAGTCGCTGGTAACATGGCACCTTGGCGTATGCCGATGGGTAGGATGGGTGGGTGAAAGCGGATCTTAGTAGACGAGGATATTTGAATCTGTACCCTAGCTTCTCAAAGATCTTCTGAGACAGATCTCTTTCGAACCCATCGCTATCTTTGATCTGGTATGCTGGCTTTGTGTAAGACAGACGGTAGTCTTCCCAACAAGTTGCTGAGTGACTTTCACTGCCCACGAAGACCGTGACTGCTTTGGTTGCCGTGTCAAACCTGTGTTTTGCACCCCCTGAAAGCAAAGAAGCTCCTATCAAAGCCTCGCATACATCTGCAATTGTCTTTTCTCCAAGATTGTGGGAACTTTCCGTGACGAGATGTCTCATGTAGTCTCTGCCACGCAGAAGCTGGAGTCCAGGAGGATACCAGTTATGTCTGCAGTATTTGTTAGTTACACCCCCTCCCCAAAGCATAATTGGTAGTTACAACATACCGAGAGAAGCCACGACTGCGAATGTATTCGTAGAGACCGATTTTCGTGGATACATTGAACATGTTTTTGTTGCAAATAAGGCACATCCGGTTGACATGGTAGTCGTATTCATCATCGTCGGGGTTTTGGCAAAAGAGGGATATTGATGTTGCCATCTTGAGATAGCTATCTCCTAGAAACTCCAGACGCTCGTAGTTTTTTCCCATTCCGCGCTGGACATGAACCTGCAAGGCTCGGTGGTCATCAGTGTTGTCTGAATCCTTGGTAAATGCCTCGAGCGCATAGTCCAGTCTTATATCAAGTCCAATAGACTTGAAGCCCTCTTGAACGATCATGTAGGATTCAAGTCTCGTGATAATCGCCGGGATGGCTAGGCACGATATTGCAATTGACAAAGGAACCTGTGAAAGTGGTCAGTAAACGTTAACAACCTCCATCATCAGCTCAAAGAGTGATATTCACAGGTGAGATCCTTATCGTTTGCAGACAGATGCAGCACTCCGCCTTTTCTGATTTCTCAGTTTCCGTCGCTGGGTCGAGAAAGTTTCTTCGGTATGAGATACATTCGGCCCGGAACACCGGCTGGCCCCAGTCGCAATCAGTCAAGACTTTGACTCGAGAATTTTTAGAAAGGCTCGTCGAGTAGCTCATAATGTTCTCCATCCATTTTCGACGGGGCGCCCATTCTGGGGGTGGGTCGGATGCGCGTCGGCCATAGTCAATGGCAGTTGAGATGTATCGCTTTCTCCCATCCCATGGATCGTAGATGAATTTGTTGCAGAGAGAATTTGGATCCATCTCCTTAGACCACGCTATCTCGGGATCGTCATGAACATACTGCAAAGTAGCCCAGTCAATTATTTCCCGAGGACTAGTTGTGGAGTGCCCATTCTTAGCTGTAGCCTTTGCTGGGGCAAACCAGTATGGAAATGTTTCTGAAACCGCCTCGAAGCTCTTGTGGAATAAATCACCGAGTATTGTAACCATGAAGCCTGTCAGCTGCTCTAATTCCGGAGATGTGACTGAAAGAACAGGTTCGAGGAGAAGAGTGTGAACTTGAGTTTCTCTGTCATTCTCCAGGAAAACTGGAAACTTTGGGAACTCGGGAAGTCTTTCTCGGGACAAAATCATCAGGTTTCCATGTTCTCGTGCCAGTGGCGTGTAGGGACTGAATGTAATGACTGTTCCGTAGAGGAGATTTGGGTTACTTTGTTTTTCCTGTGTCCAGATCGAAGGCTTGCAGCGCATCTTGTAGCTGTTGGTTTTCTTTGACACGATTGCCAGCTTGGCATTTCGCATCGCAGGCAGACGTTTATGATAAATTGAGCGAAAATGGTCATCGAGAAGGTGGTTCTTCCGGAGAAGAAGGCAAAGGTCGAACGCAGCGGATTGCTTCGCTGTAAGCTTTCTTGACTCAAGTCTCCCAGTCACTCCTCTAATAGGGGACTTTTCAGGAAGTAGGATTTCACACAGGAATTTCCTGTCGCTGGGAATCACAAAGTAGGAAACATTTGTGACACATTCGTTCTCGTATCGCTAAGATTAGTGATCTGATTAATAGAGAATTGGAATGACAGTGGGTGGGTTTTCTTACCAGAGAGTGGGAAAAACGATCCAGAACTTCGATAGCATAGGGGTAAGTGAGCCTGGCGCCGGAAGAAGATATTGCGTAGTTCCGTTCTTCATCCTGGCCGCGCAAAGCCGTGGTGTAGACATCTTCGTCTCCCTGTAAAAGCCTGTCCTTGGGAAGCTTTTCAAAAAACGATCGCATGAGAACCTGGAACGTTAAGTTTAAGCCAAATTTAAATCAATTGGAGTGAGAAATATGATAGACTCACCTCTCCTTCCTTGATTTCTTGAAGGCGCTTTTGTTGCTCTTGGTTTTCGTGTTCAAGCATGGTGGCATACTAGGCATGTTAGTAGTCTCTTCTATGCTTAAAAAGAATGCGTACCGTTGAGTTGGCATGTCTGGCACGTCCTCTGCTTTGTATGTATTGAATCAATGTCTTGTAGAGGTTGAATCTGGATTCTTATGAGCTGATCAAACAACATTGCTAAATTAAATCGTGCAGTGCGCTCACCTAACGACAAGATTGCAATCCGGAACATCGAGCCCCTCTTCAGCCACAGACGTTGCAAACTGGTCAAGTTAGAATATTTCCTCTTTTTGTATTTCACGTCCCTCTTACAAGACAATTTACTTCTCCTTGGCGAAATTTGATTAAGACAAGGAATTGGTCGCGAAGCGTGACCCTTCCAGTGATATCGTGGTTTCGAATCCCGACAAGTATTCCTGGTCGGAGGTTGGGGATTTTCATGACACTGCAGAGGTGTCCGAGAGATTTCGCTGTATTTCGTCTTTTGGTGAACACGATACACTTCGTGTCTGGAGATCTGTCGAAGTGTTGGGTCAATTTTTTCAGAAGAAGCTCGACTTTCGGGTTGATCTGACCCGGTTCCAGGGGGCTCTTGAATTTGTAACGTTTCACCAGTTGGGCGGCCTCATCGATTCTTTTGATGTTTCTCTCGATGTTCTCAGTGGTTTCGTCCTCAGAGTAGGAGTCCCTGTCGATTTTAGCTTGTAGGTGAGGGATCACATCCTCTGATAAGGCATATGTCCACACATGGTCTGCACACCACGCTCCCAATTCCGCACTTGCTCGCCATGCGAATAGGAAAACTGACTCGAGGACCTTCAGGTCCCCGATTTGGTCTTTGAGGAGCTGAAATAATGCGGTTGCGGTTGGTTGGTTGAGCTCTGGGTAGGTCCAGAATTCCTCCTTCGGACGGCTAACGGCGCGCAAGAGCGCCGTAAGATTCGTTGTCGTTGCTATCTTGCTGTCCATCAGGGCCTCGAGATCTCTTTGTAAACAGTAAGCGATGGGTCTGGATCATTTTTGTTGCACTCGAACTTACCGTGCCGCGTCGACGATATTCCCTCTCGCATCGATGGGGGAGGCTGTCATTCCGAAAATTCTCGGACGTTCAGATAGCTCAGTTCTGATGTACGAGTCTCGAATGATACTTTTCATGGGGTTAGCCGTCACTTATAAAAGAGTTTAAAACTCATATCCGCTGTACTCACCGTGCATAGGGGTGGTCCTTCTTTGTGTGGTGGGCTTCATCAAAGATCAGGAGGTTGATTTCCTTTATCTTCACGAATCCATTAAGAAGGCATTTATGAAGAATGTCGGCTGTGCAAACTATGACCATGTTTTTATCAAACTGATCTTTCCACGTCTGTTGGTCCCAGTGGTCTACCCCCACATTGCCGTAGAGATGACCGACATTCTGGTCAATATTGTTTCGCAAAACAGCAGCTTGCTGGAAAACAAGTGTCACGCTGTCAACCTTTTTTCTTTTAGTATATATCCCCACAGTCGTGAAATGATTAATTACCAAGAAGAAGGCAATGCGACGGGGTTTGCCATCAGCGCGATCGATCAGTTCGCGTTGCAGGATCTCTTTGAGAAGCAAGACTGCGATCAAAGTCTTTCCGGAGCCTAGATCGGCAAAAGCGTAACTTAGATATGACTCTTCAATTCTATTCCATTATCCTCCACTTGCCTGTATCAAGTACTGCGATTGTGTTTTGAATCTTTGCCCGCTCGAACAACTCGATCTGATAGGCGCGAGGATCCAAGTGGCCTGGATTAGGATCATGTTTTGTGAGTAAGGATGAAATCGCGAGTTCGGAGTCTGGTCTATCAGGCACTACTCGGATCTTGGCTTCAATTGTTCTACCAGGGTCACGAGCATATTGGTTCAGTCTGTCAATTAGATTAGATCAGTACTGCCTCTAATTTCGAAACTTTGAGTGGTTCAAGAGGACTGACAGGGCTTGAAACTGAACATTCTGAACCTTCCGGCTCTCAGAAGGAAGTGGAAGGGGTGCTTGATCATCTTCGCTTCCAGAATCATCGGATTGATGGGCATCTGCCAGTGGGCCAGTGGTATCGAGTTCTGGTGGCATGATAACTACTAGTAGCTGTCGGGTTGGTGGGAAAAAGGGAAGATTGGGGCCTCCTGGTGAATGGAAAGATTTGTGAATAGACTAGATAGCTCTATCATTCAAGTTTGATTAGGCGATTCAGGGTGTTTGGAGTATTCTAGTGCACGTGCCCAGGTGTGACTGTCAGTGTAAACCAACCTTGGAAGGTTGGAAGGTACTACTAGTAGTAATTCTAGTAGGTGTATATCACAGGAAGGCACGAGTATACCTGGGCAAACGCTGAGCCTGGCACCTTCCACACCGGTTTTTGTTTGTCTCACTTGATATTCATTGGAGCCCCCGTGATCTGAGTATCTACCACCTCCCTGGGAATCTGAAGACAACTTGTCAATTTCAATTCAATCTCATTACATTCAATAGTACTACATTGCATACTTCCGACCTGCCCCCAAGCTCCACCACGCTCCTTATCGCTTATCGCTTATCGCCTCGCCAAAATTCAAGCTGGGACTGCGGGGCGATGCAGCGCGCGTCTACACTCACCCTCCACACAGCACCCTAATAGACAATCATGGAGGAACCTACAAGTCTTCGCTCTTTATTCTCTTCCGCAAAGGATGACAAGACATCCTTGGAATCACGTGGTGACACCAACTCAGAATCTTATCGTGATCTGGTCAATGCGACGATCACCAAATTCCAAGAATGCCAGCGACAAGTCGGTATTGTGTCGCTATTCAGTTCCAATGAATCACTTGATGATTTGTCGACCGGAGATATCCAGTACGTAATTTCCACAGCCAAGTCATCACTGTCCCTGGGCTAACCTCTGAGCAGATACATGACCCTCGAATATCACCTTGCTGAACTGACCCAACGCGCCGCCACATCCGATCGCGAAGCCGTTCTACGCCAAGCTCTGGAGCAATATGAGAAATTTCTTACACGCCTGGATGAATACGAGTTGCTGTCCGGAGGAGACAAGAGACTCTTTGTGCAATACATGGCCAACCCGACTACATTCACGCTAGCACCTACGAGTGATGCGGCTACCAGACGAGACATTAAAGTGAGACGTTTCAGGGAAGAAAAGGAGCTGAAGCAAAAGCTAGAGGTAGGCATATCATTTTTCAAGAAGGAACTTTTCTGCGAGGCTAACAGGCACACAGTATCTGTCCCGCAATGAAGCAAGCCTACAAAGCGACGATGACGACACGCGGAGACTCTATCTAGCTGAACTGCAACTTTATACCCACCAGACATTCCAAGCACTGGACCTTTTGATGCAGGAGCTAGAGATGCTATCGATGATGCGGAACGCACCGCCGCCTATCCAAGCACCGCCAGATGACCCGAGACAACGGAGCAACCTAGGAGGAGCCAATTACTCAGATCGCGTGGATCCATCCTTGTCGCAATTGCTGAAGGGCGGACGAAATGGCCCCATCCTCAATAGCAGGGGCAAGCCAATGCAACCATTCACGCTGTTGGACCGTCGCCAACAACTCCAACAAGGCGTCTTCCGTTCAGGCCATAACCTTCCAACTATGACGATCGATGAATACCTCGACGAGGAAAAGCGGAGAGGCAACGTTGTTCAAGGTGGAGAGCAATCTGGTATCATTGCGGAAATCGACCAGGATGATCATGACGCGGTGGATAAGGAGACGATGAAGGCCCGGAACTGGGATGAATACGTCGAGGCTAATCCTAAGGGATCGGGTAACACCCTGAACCGAGGCTAGCGGTCCATCCATTAAGTGAATGATTGCGTCGCTATTTCAGTTGAAATTATAGACGCCCCATGCGATTTAGAATATAATACCGATGCATGATACAATCTGGAAGATCAAATGACAAAGTATGCTACAATTACTATGTCATAAACCTATGCCTATCCAATTTGTACCTTGGCCGGTATGCCACTGGCAGAGTGTTGCCAAGGGGTATATAAGAAAAGATCGGAAGTCTCGTTCATGTCGTTGCATTTTTTTTCACAGGGTATATGCAGATAGCCTAGTCTATAGGGCTATCGAGGATTGTTTTTGTTTTTATTTCCTCTTGTTTAAGAGGAAACATTGTCCTTGACAACCTTCTGGCGTTGGATTTCCTCGAGGATAGCTCCAGCGCCGTTGGCCACCAGGGCGTTGGCCACAGTGACACCAAAAGCCTCCGCGCTCTCTGGTGAGTTGACATCGCCATCCAACTCCACCTCGGCACATTGTTGGCCGTCAACGCTGACTACAACAGAGCGCATACGGAGCTTCTTCGATCCGTCAGAGCCTTGAACCCACTCGGATTCAACTCCGAGCGGGGCACTGCAGCCTCCTTCAAGGGTTCGCAGGAGATTGCGTTCTGCCAGGCACGAAAATGTGGTCTCCTGGTGACCAATCTGACGCAACATATCAAGCAGGGCTGTGTCATTCTTACGGACTTCAATGCCAAGAGCTCCTTGCCCAACAGCGTAGAGCATGCCGTTCTTCGAGTCGAGATATTGTGTAATGCGGTCCTCCAGGTCTAAGCGCAGCAGGCCGGCGGCGGCAATGATGATACAGGTGTAAGGGCTGTCTTCAGCGTCCAGCTTGGCCAACCGGGTACCAATATTTCCGCGAATGCTTTCGACTTTGAGTTGGGGGTATTTGCGGGCCAATTGGGCTGTTCGGCGGATCGAGGAAGTTCCGACCACGGAGCCTGCGGGGATCTCGTCCAGGCTCTTGAAGGACAGTCCTTGTTTAACGACAAGGACATCCCGGTTATCTTCGCGGGGCATCATCGGGGCCAAGGTGCAGGTATCGGGTAGGAGGGTGGGGACATCTGCGCGCATAGTAAAACACCAGTGTGAGTTATTTGGGTTGACCCCGCCATTTGAGATAAGAAACAGATCTCCTACCTTTCAGCGAGTGGACAATCAAGTCGACCTGGCCAGCAATCATCAACTCCTCCAGCTCCTCTGTCCAGAGGTTCTTTGAAGCGAAATCCTTCAGGGCAATAGTGGTGTTGAGATCGCCGGCGGTCTCCTTGGAGAAGATCTTGAATTCATAGTTGGGGTGTGAATTCTTCAGCGCGGCGCATACCAATTCGGTCTGTTCGAGGGCAAGTTTGGACTTGCGAGTACCAATGGTGAAGGAAGTCTTGGAGGTGGGGGCGGCCATGGTGAGCGGGGGAAGTGGAAGTACGATCACACGAGTTGCTGAGGAGAGAAGAAGGAAAAAGGAACCGAGGAAAGAGTTGATCTCCGGTAAAGCCGATCACGGGACTCCGTACGGAGTAGTTACACGGTAACTTATGGAATCAATTACAATCAATGATAAAAATACAATAATACAAAGGTTTTAAAATTCTTCTTATTAGATATTAGGTATTAGACATTTATGTAAAGTGTGCCCTGTGCCCTGACCCCTCACCTTAATTCCTCCAGTTGAGTTTCCCGCTGATCTGCAAACTAACGTACTGGTTACAGGTGCCACTAACCTCGGCTTCGGGACGTGGAGATTACAAGACATGCGACGCTCCTCTTATCGCCTGCTCCCCGGAATTGCCTCCATCATCTCCGGGGTTCCAGAACTTCTCCTCACTCATCTCCCCACATTCCCCCTGTCCCCCCATCCCCCCCTCTTCCCTCTCCCTTGATTATCTCTCACCTTTCATCACACTTCTTGTTCTATACAACTTACTTCTTCTTCCACTTCAAACTCTAACACCCTCTTCCATCATACTCACTGAACTCTACTGTCGCCTGCTTGCCACTTGAATCCCTCGGCACAAAACAAGATGGGATCCAGTGGTCGAACCATCAAGCTTCCCCTCGTTCCCTTGGCCAAGGGCTCCGTTCTTCTCCCTGGAGTGACACTTCGCATCCCAGTCTCCAATCGACCGGACTTGACTAATCTATTATCGTCTCTGGTCGATCGTCCTTCGAAACGCGATGGCAGTTCCATCACCTTCGGATGCATTCCGCTCAGCTCACCGTACCTGAGTTGTAATGGCCAGCAGCTTCTTGAAGGTGATGATGCTGATGAGCTTCGGAGGGAGGATTACGATTCGATTGATGCCGGCCAGGCGCGCAAGGATGACCTCTTTGCCTACGGTACTATAGGCAAGGTGATCGGAGTCCAACGCCGCGCTTACGCCGAGCCTTTTCTTCTGGTCCAAGGCTCCCAACGGTTTACTGTCAAGAAGATCCTCAAGGATCGACCATTCTTTGAAGCGGAAGTGAACCTTCACGACGAGAGCAGTAAGTTTTCCGAGCCTCCACTGTGAACTTTGATTTCCCCGGGCTAACATTTCATCTGCTCCTAGCTTCATCTATCCACGGGGATTCGGAAGCCGCTGAGCTCTTCCAGCAGCTCCGACAACTATCTCGCGAACTTCTCACTCTTCTGCGCCTTTCTTCCCTTTTGTCATCTGCCTCGACCCGCCTATCACCGCTTGTTGCCCGAAAATTTGAGTTGTACATATCGAAGACAGAGATTGGACAGGCTGGAAAGTTGGCCGACTTCATGGCAGATGTATCCGATGGCAGCTTTGAAGAAAAGCTGCGAATCTTGGCGTCGTTCGATGTAAAGGAGCGACTGGACCGGGTAGTCGAGATTCTGACCCGCCAGGCGCAACACATCAAGAGCAGTGTCAAGGTCACTTCCATTACGACGACTTCATTCCCACCCAACTCGGACATGAATCAGATCGATCCCCGGGAGCGTGAGCTGCTAGCAAGACGGGCGATGGCCGGCCTCTCAGGCTTGAACCCACCTGGCACTGCTGGTGCCCGTGGCGGTAGCGACAATGAGGAGAAGGAGCCAAATGAAGTTGACGAGCTCCAGCAACGTATCAAGGATGCTGAGCTTAGTACTGAAGCCCAGAAGGTGGCCGACAAGGAGTTGAAGCGCTTGCGCAAGATGAACCCGGCCAACGCGGAATACGGCGTTTGCCGTACGTACCTCGAAAACCTGGCAGAAATTCCCTGGACCAAGGTGACTGCAGACCAACTTGGCCCTGATACACTGAAGAAAGCGCGACAGCAG